ACACAAAAAATAAACCACAATAGTATTATGAAGAAATCAAAGTCCAAACCAATCTTCTAACCGAAACTCCAACAGCGAACTAATTGTTTCCAGTTAAATCGTTAGGTATCCATTACGTCTTCCCATTGTTCCCATCACAATTCAATCCGGCGGCAATCCTCTTAGACTATAGCTTCTTGGTAGGACACCTGTTGCTTTGTGTTGTCTGAATCGTTACTAGGTAACAATTTGCTGTTGATACCGCAGTATGCAATTTACACAAGATTGATATTCTAGGACGTTTAACGATATTCGAAGCTTGTTTTCGATTATTCTATTTATCACGTGAATTTTATAATAATGTCTAACTTTAGATGAATCAAACTTGCATAAAATGTAGTACTTGTACACACATTTTCTAATAAAGCGTTATAGTATCAACTTTATATATGTACGCAGAGTGAGTTTAACGTATTGGTTTATCTGACGTATTTAATATTATACTTATTTTTTTGTGTTTGACATTGTCGTATTGTTAAGTACTGTCAGGACACGTATGTATTTTTTGTGTTTAAATAAATAAACTCATAGCTATTTATGCTAGTAATGTATTATAATGGATATATTACAATTATAATAATAAAGGCACTTTTAATCCAAACTATTTACTATAAAATGTACGTAGAGTATTAGTTTTGTTATTACATACTTAGTCTAGGTTAGGCATTATTGTGTTTCTTGGTTTACGGAATTCCTCCTGAACTTTCTATTAGGATCAATTGTTTGCTTTTTTCAGCCATTTCTCCACTAGAAATTTTGAGGTGATTCCACTTTTCTCTTCCTGCAGGTCCCTTCCAACATGTGGCCTCCGATCCATTTATTAAGATATGTATATGCTTAATTACTATACTTTAAAGTACTACGTTTCTTTTCGTTAGATTTCTTCAATCATTTTTTGATATTTATACTCAGATTTATGTTTTCGGATATTTTTTTTCTAATATACAACCAGTTGATCCACCTTCTGTGCCTGACAAATGCCATCGTCTTTTTAGATCTAACGCATCCTTTCTCACGACAATTCCCTTCACCGTACGAATGTCAAATGAGGGGTCAAAACTATAAACTCAAAAATGAGAGTCGCATGCTGGTGCCACTAGGCCAATACTGCTCTTCAAAATTCCTAGTATCTCCATTAAATAACCTGCGTCCTCTATAATGTTGATAAACATTAAATCCTAATACGAAGGCTTTTAAGTGAATATTAATTATTAACCTAAATACTTATGAAAGCGCTCCAATATTGCTTGTCACATGCGACCTCTAATACATAGGCCATTCACCTAGCCTAATCACTCTATTACCTAGCTAACACACTCACAAACGAACACAGCGCCGGCGTTACATTTTAGAATTTCTATTCATTCATATCTTTAATAATTTAATAAACGTAAATATGTTCTTTGAAGTTGAACAATAACTTTTTGGCGCGTTAGGGAAAAATGATAAGAGTAAATTTTTACGATGCGCGCGCACTCCGTTACAAAAAACCAACACCCTGAAGTTAGCTGTAGTCAACATTTTAGTTTTATTGAAGTTATACTTCTTTTAGCGCTTTCTTTTCTATTGTTAGTGTTGTTTTTTCTACATACGTAGAATAAGGCGAAAGATTTTAATGTTGTTACGCCAAAGAAGTATAACTTCTATCGCTTGTACATAAATACACAAACTTTTTTTACTATCATTACTTTAAGTGTTTAATACTTAATCACCTTCCTAGAAGTTATACGTAGATCATTGCCGTGTAATGCTTTAGAAAAGGATTAAATTTTTAAACGCAAAGCCTGCGTAGCGTGGGAAAGAATTTAGAACATAAGTTTTGACAACAATTATAATTAACTGTTCTTATTATTATGGCATCATGATAATAATAATAAGAACAGTTAATTATAATTAATAATAATAACTGTTCTTATTATAATTAATATGACATTTGCATGCCTTTTTTATATGGCTGATTGTGCGAATTTTGTGCATTCAGAATTAATCAATCTGAATGGACCACTTTCTTTGCAAATAAACGATTTATTATTTAATACATATTGTGACTTAAGGTAAAAAAACAAAGTAATAATGTTTAATGTTAAACGACATAGGAAAAACTCAATATCAATTTGTAGCTAAATATCCTTTAAATCTCTACTGTACAAATATTTGTCCACATCTTACCCCTAACTATCCTACTAACTGATCCAAAATTATCATGATTCATGAACCATTCTTTTTTCATGTGTGCTTTTTTATTATTACCCCTTTCACGGTTTACATATTTTTTAATTACTTTGCTTTCTTCCAGTAGTTTTGTCTAATTAATTTGAAGTATGTAGCTTTGCACTTCTTGCGCTCGCCTTAATAAGAATTATAATTAATTAATAATAATGAAATAATAGCTAATTTAATTTCTTATTTCTCACAGTGGTTGGAAAAAATCGCTCGAACGCAATAAGTCCGCCAGTAGCCCTGCATTTTATTTAAGTATTTTAATTGTACAGTATTTCTGCATGCTACGAACTGTAAGTAAATAAATAAATAAGCATTTATGGGTTAAGAATTCGACTTAAAACCTCGTGGCCGTACATTTAAATCCCGGCTGTGCACCGACATTTTCGTTAAGTTAATTAACTTCTACAAAGTAAGCGTTAAGCCACATGTTTCAGACCCAAAATACGAAGTGTCGGACACGGAGAACTAACCACCCACTTGCCTTATTAGGTGGCCTTAAAAGTTCGTAGCCTAACATATAAAAATCTTTTTTTTTATAGAATTTGATTTGATTATTCAATATATATGATATTAAACAACTAAATATCTAAGAACAAGACTTGTAAAGGGTTATAGCGTACATTATAATTATCAATAATTTTATACAAAGGCGAATTAGAAATTCTTGGTGCTTGCAAGCCCGGCCCTGTTCAATGCTAGCTATGTCTATCGTGGTTGAAATAGCACTCTCACTATCGCCGATGGCATCCTACGCAATAGCTATTTGTATTTAGACTAGGTCAAGAACGCCTTTCCCTGTCTTTGAAGTTTCATCAACAACGTATAAACAATCATTTTATTTATTTATTTATTTATAGCCTTATATCAGAAATAAAAAATACATGATAACTATTGTTTTTCTTAATCTACGATAACTGATTCTGTGTGCCTACGGTCAAAGGCCTCCCCCCTTGTCCTCCATTTTTCTTTATTGTATACCAATCTCGTCCAGGTCTTAGTCTTTCCAGCCATTTCCATGATTTCATCGGCCCACCTTTTAAATTGCCTACCTCTGCTTCTTTTATGGCCTCTTGGTTGCCAAAGTGTTACAATTTTGCTCCATTTATCTGCTCCTCTTATGGTATGTCCAGCCCATTTCCATTTTTGTTCTTTTGTTTTATATACAACGTCAGTAAGCCCTGTTTTATCTCTTAAATTCTTGTTACTTATTTTGTCAATTCTTCTTTTCTTTATTATGCTTCTTTCCATGGCTCTCTGGGTTACGCTTAATGTGCCCATGTTTGACAGCCGTATGTAAGAATTGGTAGGAACAATCATATCTACCCTTAAATATTAGGTTATTTAGTTGAAAATAAATAAATATGTACTACGCCTATAGTGTAGTGAACAGTAGTAGCTTCAATCCCCAATGGACTTTCTGTCTATGCGCGCATTTAACATTCCCTCGAACGGTGACGGAGTACAGCGTAGGGAACCGTCTTGCCTAAGACCTAGAAAGTCGACGGCGTGTGTAAGGCACAGGAGACTGTACTACTTGGCTTTTAGATTGACAAATGATCATGAAACAGATACAGAAATGTGAGGCCCAGACCTAAAACGGTTGTACTGGTTCAATAAAAATGCTCTAATAAACTTTTAGAAAATATCGTCCCTCGACTGAATTCCTTCAAAAACTCTTTCTTCATATATTATCTTTACAAAGTATACAAGTTTATATACCTACTAAGAACTAATGTTAATAAATATGCTGCGTTATTCAGTAGCTTTTTCTCACTGCACTAGTTCGGCGACCTAAATTATGTTTTGGCATTCCACCGCTCCCTGTCTTACTGTGGCCTTTAGCCAGATTCCAGGGGCTTGAAATGAAGTGATATTTGTATGGAACAAACTATTAAACATAATTTCAATGAATACATGTAGTGTTAATTCTAATAGTAACTAAATTAGAGTTTTAAGTTGACTGTTGGTAACAATCTATTTTGGTGTGTTATTTACTTAACATATTACGAACATCTTTTTTATAGAACAGAGAGCAAACGCACAGGAGGGTCACCTACTACGAGTATTAGGTGATAGCGCCGCCTATTGACACTATCATTGCCAAAAGGCTCGCAACTGCTTTGCCGGCCTTTTGAGATATGGTTCGTTTGGAATGGTGAAAGAGATATAAAAATACAAATAGTTACTTTTTTCTTTTATATTGACTGATTGATGACGTTTTGAGCATTTTGCTGTCGACATAACTTGTTGATGTAATGTTATAATTAAATAGAAAAATATGTGTAAAAACAGTATTTTTAAAAATTAATCAATTTCATATATCACAATATTTCTAATGATATCGGTTATGGAACGATTTTGGTTGAATTCGTAAATTTTCAAGGGATACATTTCAGTCTTCAGATTTTTGTTCTTCTTATTTGACGTGATTAAGACCTTTAAATTCCATAAGTTTAAATTGGATAATCACTTTATAACGTAAGTTTTGATGTGATAGTGTTCTGTTTTAAGATAAACTTGACAATGTACATGAAACCATACTCCTTAACTACCTATTAAGGAATTCCCTGATGATTGAGGAACATATTTATTTTCAAAATTTCAAAGCTTATATGTTTTAGCCCGACGGCAATTTCGACCACATTGGACTATGTCCCATCCTGTAATAATTTACCTAAAAATGATATCTAAAGAAGCCCCCATAGACTCCCACCTATGCCTAAAGAAATTTATACGGCATGGGATTATCGACCGTTGCCGAAAAACGAAGGCGTCTCCTAGCAACCGAGCTTAACCCTTCAGATGCCGCGAGGCGCTTACTTTGCGGCGAGGGACGCCACGGGGGACAAAACCCCCGTTTTTCGGCATTGATCCGGACCTTACCGCGCCTGCGTGCTGAACGAAAAACGAACCAGGAAAAGCAAGGTCACGGGACTACAGGTTCTTTTTTCCAATTCGAATATTGAATGGAGATCATAGGTTCGGAATGTGTCGACTTACGCATACGTTTCTTTGTGAATAAGGTTGAATGTTTACGGGTTTTTGCTTTGACTAGAAATACCAGCATAATGAGACAATACTACGCTGTTCAAGCCCTACCAGGGGCACTTTTACTTTCTATTTACGTTTGCCCTAAGTCAGTATGTAGTTAAGTCCAAATTGCAGAACTGATGTGACATTAGAGCTATGGTCTACAATAGTATCTCCTACATCTGAATATATTTGGTAGTGGACTGATCAACTTTAAAGAAAGCATTCTTAAGTGCCTATCTCATACCTAATCCGCTGTTGTTTTAAATGAGCAAAAAATTACTAGATTATATAATACCTTTATTGTATGTTTTTTTGTAACAAATTCCGTAGATATAGCATTATGTATGATGTGGTAAACTTCAATAAATATAAAAAATATCTATACATGTACTTATAATAAAGAAAATTTGAAAGCAAATAATTATAAAAATTGGAACGAGGTTTCAGTGCCATCTCACAAACCTACATACTGACTTAGGGCAAACGTAATTAGAAAGTAAAAGTGGCCCTGGTAGGGCTTGAACAGCGTGGTATTGTCTCATTATGCTGGTATTTCTAGTCAAAGCAAAAACTTGTAAACATTCAACCTTATTCACAAAGAAACGTATATAACCAACCATGCGAGCCTCGTTAGAACTTATTAAACGACTTAGTCGTCGTTATTAGTTACAATCACAGAACAAGGTCCCAAGAACATATTATGCACCTAATAATATATATCGGCTTTGTCAGTACGCAATTGAATTGGAAAGTCAATTATCTAATAAATTTGTAGCCGTCAGTTAGACCGTTCGGTGTGGGAAGGAGTTGAACGCTAACTAATCGTTTTGTCGTTTTCAATTAACCAATAATTGTGACATTAAATGGTATAAATTTGTGACTAAAATGTGTATCATCCAACGAAATTCGCAGTGGAAATCTTCGTTTGTACGCAAATTGACACGAAATATAATTTCGTTAGTAATGCTTGAAGATTGAGTTTTGTTAAATTGTATTTACAAGTAGGTAATCAGCCTGTGCCTAAGATTATTTTATTTTATTTTTGCTCTCAAACATCACACATGTTACAAGGACAATTAGATACTTATGTATGTAATAAAAAGGATATAAATGTGTGAAAATAACATGAAAATTTAAGAAGGCGCAGAGCTAAACAGATCCATGAAACTTCCTCATAATTAAGCCCGCAATAGATAACACACAACTCACAAGAGGACTCTTTGTATTGAAGAAGTCGCAAGGTTCATTTTGAGTCTATGACGGTTTGCTCACGATCCTCGCAAGTAAATGAGTATAAAGAAAAACATTGTTACATCGGAATTCAAAGCACGCGACTGTTTTAAACCATTAGCCCAAATCTTTCATTTTATGTTAGATATCTAACGTGAATGTCGTGTATTGTTAATTTCTGAAAACGTTAGCAATAAAGGCTTAGTAATAATAACGTTTCTAAAAATCCCTTTCACAAAAAGCTTCCCAAACTGCTTAAAAACACAAATCAAATCAACTAATTATAATATCAACTGCTCCAAAACTGCGTTCGCGATGTCGCGGCGCAAATCCTTTCTCATGCTAATTGTGTGTCTTGAGAAATTACTGGAAATTAACAATTCAACTAGCAGGTGAGGTCGGGAAAGGGGTCATTTGGCCTGAATTATAATTGCAGATGTCCGTTATTTTCTCATGGATCTTCATTTGCATAGAGCGAATTCTAAAGTAACTGGATTTGATACACTTTTGCGGCCAAATAGGTAAGGATTATAACAAGAGGCTGACTAAACTGTCCTGTGTATAATATTATTACGAGCATTCGTATCTAGATAGAATGTTTAATATTCACACTTTAAATTATATGGTAATTTTTATGTTTTTGAAAGATGTCCTTAACAATTAGACATCTAATTAACAAAATAACAATATGTTTGCACCCAATATATTCTTAGATGTTATTTTTAATGCCTAAATAATTTTTCACTAACACTCTACTATTTATGAAAATGATAAGTTTGTTATTATAATAAACTTAAAAAAAACGTAATTTAAAAAAAAAATTGACTCACACTCGGCAACGCACTCGCGAGCTCAAAATCAGAAAATAAAAAGGGCATATTATATTATATTATATTTATATCATATTATATATATTTATTTTTATTAACTAAGTCGCGAACTAAAAAAAAGTAAATTTAAAAAATCTTATTAATAGGTCGGCGACGCATTTGCGACCCTTTGGCATTAAGAATGTTTACGACTATCACTTAACAGCAGATGAGCCCCCTGTCCGTTTGCCCTCTGTTCTTTAAAAATATCAAAGATAAGAGTACACATTGTTTCATTCAAATTCAGAGCCCAGAAGACACAAAATATAATAATATTTAATTTCTCATGTATCAAGAACAACTTATTGAAAATAATAAAGTAAAAAATACGAGTTTGTTCCAAAATTCTTATTCACATCAAGATGAGTCGGAACTTTGCATTAGCTTCATGCAAATAAGTACACAAAGGGGTCATCCCTGGCTAAGCTTTAGGGTCATAAGTCTTGACCTTTTCTTAGATCACTCGGTTTCGGTGAACAGGTCGGGTTGACCCCTGACCCTTCATTCTCACGGTTGACTCGAGGCTGGAGGGTTAATCTTTTTTTAAATTTCTTCTGAATTTTAATAAGCTTAAATATACAAACTTACTTGTACGATTATCTTGTTTCGAATTAAGGGCGTTAAAATTTAATTTGATACTTAAAAACATTAATAAATCAAACATTTATTTTCTTCTAAATTAAGATTAAATTTTATTCTTGTAAAGAAGTTTTCCAGTTGTTAAGTACTCGCAAAGGTGAAAGTAATTCGTGTTTTATATCAAAACTCTTTTGACTAAACTTTATATAATACTAGCTGACCGGGCAAACGTCGTTTTGCCATATATATCATTTATAATTAAAAAAATAGGGGTTGATCGTAGAGGGGTGAAAGTTAGGGGTTTGTATGTATTTTTTAATGCTGTATCATAAAAACAGAAAAAAATATCTAAAAATAAAAAAAAAATATTTAGGTGTGGACTACCCTTAACATTTAGGGGGATGAAAAATAGATGTTGTTCGATTCTCAGACATACCCAATATGCACACAAAATTTCATGAGAATCGGTCGAGCCGTTTTGGAGGAGAATGGCAACGAAAACTGTGACACGAGAATTTTATATATTAGATAAACCAAATAGTTTCGACAAGTTGGTAATGGTAGGGAGAAGTGATAGCAGGAGAAGTTGGGGCCGTTCGTTTACCCGTTGGTCGGACCAGGTAAAAACAATTATGGATCAACATCACTCATGCACTGAGACAAGCTGAGGATATAGTGGTGTGGAGACAGCATGTCGATGTATGGATTCGGGATTTTTAAGACAAGCACGATCTACAGTTTTTTGATTGCCAAGAGGAAGAAGATACAATCAGTGAAAGCATTTGTTCGGTTATAAATGATACTTCAAGGACATGCGATCTTTGTTACGATTCCATGTCTTCAAGCGTAAGGTGCCAATTCTGGTGCAGATAAATGTTTTAATCATAAAAAGATTTTATATAATTAAATTTATCATTAAATATATCATTAAATTATTCACTGAAATTAGCATTATTTTATCATGTTTGATATTATTTTCTGCTATTTTGTATGTCGTGGATACTTATAACTGATGAGCAAGTTCTGTGCTTTTTAGTTTAATTTCTGTGTTCTGTCAGTATGCCTTTAGCATAATTCATTTTATTTGTAATAGTAAATCATTTATTTGCCAAGATAGTGGTACAATTAGAATCAAATACAAAAATCCGCACAATCAGTCATATATTAATAGGCATGCAAATGTCATATTAATTTTTGCAATGTCATATAATAACAACATTAAAGTAATGTCATAATAATAAGTTATTTATAATTGGTGTCAAACGTATGGTCCAAATATATTTTGCCTTTAAAAATATAATCACCTTTCAAGAAAAGAAAGAGTTACACGGCAGATTTCTATAACTTCTAGGAAGGTGATTAAATAGTTTTATAGCCATGGCGTAACAATTTTTTTAATACATCGTGGTGGAGGAGCATGCAGGGACCCACAGCCGTGTTGGATCCCGCGTTATACACAGGCAAGTTACGTTAGTAGACTACCAATTCCCAAATGGCGTAAAGCGGCAAAGAAGAAATGTCAAGAAACTCTATATTTTTCAGAATATCAAATTGTAATCATTTGATAAAACATGTAACCTTTACGCCGCATGATTTTACATCGAATAATTTTCAACGCAATTTAAAATACAGTGAGAATATCAAATGAACCGTTTACACGGAACAACTGTACCGAAATCATTAGCAAACCTATCAGTGTGTCATTAAAAACTTTTGCAATATAATTTTCATCAAAATCGAAAATCATTTTTGCCCATAATTATCTCATATTTCCGCGCCCAATACTAAGTACTCCAAAAACCGTGATTAAACATTCTACTCTATTCATTATCTATATTATGCTATATGCTCAAACGACCCCCTAACATTAAACAGGGTTGACAACTAAGTTGAATTATCAAATATGCATATGTTAACCAATTAAACTATTTAAAATTATAATTACGTTATTCGATTATCAAATGCGAATAATGTAAAAAAAAGTTCGCTCTTTAAAAAGTGACTAAATTTTACTTTCACAAAAGTTTCATCTTTATTTTCTAACATCAAAACACTTTGGTTGTTTTGAAAATCATCACAAAAAATTCCTCTGGTATTATTACTTTGAATGATTATAGAGAGGCGAGAAAATTCGCTGTTTAAAACAATTGACAACCCTAATTACACGCTACGCAACGCTTCCCAACTCATACCGTTCAAAACGCACCATTTTCTACCATTTCTCCCGAAAGATAAAGACCAAAATAAAAAAAGAAAACGCGAAAAACATCTCTGTCTCTTTTGCACGCTGGAAAAATGCACCCGTGCGAAGAGTACAACGACTAAACACTGAACGACTCACGAAAACTTCGGCCCCGCCCGAGACGGCGCTCTCTATCCGTCTCTTTCACTTTTTCACACTTTTCATGTAATAGCGACAAGAGCAAACAGTCGCATGTCGACCTATTATTGCATACTAAATTCAACTTTATGGTATATTATTAGAACAGTGTTTTGCTTAAATAGGACGATGCGTAGAAAATATTTTAGAACGAAAGCATTTGGCAATGGAAGTCCCTCTCTCTCGCAAAAAAGCGATCTATGTAGGGGGTTAGATTTGCAAGGGTGAGTAGGGTGATCACTGGCAGCCATGTTACCGACGGCAAATGAAGACCGATTATAATTTCAACTTAATTCAGACATGCGTTTTAAGATAATTCAAAATTAGAATTAGGCTTAGATACTAAAAATAATTTCTTCTATCAATTTTTATTAAAATAACCTTTAAATTAAGTTATTAAATAAAACTGAAATGAATGGAAATAAACTGTATGTAATATTTATATTTTTAGTATCAAAATTATCGTTTAAATCTACAATTTTTAATACTGTTGAATTTGAAGCTTGTAAATTTTTTAATACTCTGTGTTATATAAATATGTTGCTAAATGAATAATAAAAAAATATTTTTTAAGTATACAATTTATTGTTAAGAATATCGTAAGATACTATATGACGAAGGTCATAAAATCCTACGCCACATATATCTTACAAAATTACGAACTACTTTATTAATTTCTGGCGACACTTTTGAATTTTTTAAACCATGAGTTCAAATCTTGTTCCAATCTTTGTGCGTAATTTGCACTAGCGTACGCAAGGTGCGTATTAAGTAAGGAATCGGCCTTCCCATACCCAAAAATGTGATTTGGCCCAAAAGACTTGCCTGTAAAAGTTATGAAATAAACAGATTTTGAGTAGTAGCGCTAATAACCTATAGGATATATCAGTTGTTTTTCTTTTTTTCATGTCATTTATCAAAGAAAATTATTTTAAAAAAAATCCCGACTAAACGATGCTTCGACGACAGTGGACAATTTTACTTACTTACTTTTTTAATTCATAACTACGATGAGAAATAAATAATTTTATTTTTGTCTTCGGTTTACGTTAAATATCTATTTATATATTTAAATATAGAAATATATTTATATATTTTTTATTAAACATACATTATATGTTTAAATGTTTATTTTTAATGTAACCTTTAAATATATATTTACGTAGCACAAAATATGTAGTATAAATAAGGAAAGAAAGACTTACAATAGGATTTTTTTTAAATCATTCACTTTATTTTTCCTATAAAATGTTTAAATATAAACATGACTAAAAATTGATTATGGTAAACATTTAGCAAGACAATTAAATGTATATAATAAAATAAAATAAATCAGTGGCGCTACAACCTTTTTAGGTCTGGGCAAAATTTATGTATCTGTTTCATGATAATTTTTCAATCTAATAGGCAAGTCGGTGGGCGGGCGTCCTCTTGTGCCTGACACACGCAATCGACTGTTTGGGTCTAAGTTAAGCCGATTTCCTCACGATGTTTTCCTTCACCGTTCGAGCTAATGTTACAATGCACACATAGACAAGGTCGGGGATCGAACCTATGACCTCAGGGTTGAGTGTGGCACGCTGAAGCCACTAAGCCATCACTACTAAATATATATAATATAACTATATAGTATATATAATATAACTATATAGTATATATAATATAACTATATAGTATATATAATATAACTATATAGTATATATAATATAACTATATAGTATATATAATACAATAGTAATGTAACTATAATACAAGAAAAGTTGAATATAAAAAAATAGGGGCAAACGAGACTACGAGAGGCCCAAAAAGGGCAGTCATCGCAGCCCAAAGACACCCATTTTTACTGGGTGCGTTACCGGCCTTTGAGGGTACACTCAAATTTTGAACAGTTGGAGGTCGTATCTCTCAGGGAAGACCCCTACCGTCGATTAAGTCGATTCCACAGTTTTAGCTAGTTCGCAAAAGACAGTGCCTTGTGCAAAGGACTGTAGAAGACTTCCAGTCTTGATGGCTGATGGTGGATGGTCATGTTGAAACGAGGCAGGAGGAATCAACCCAAACAATTCTTCAGATAAAATTTTCAAAACTAGTTTCCATATAAAAAATAAACAAACTAAATTGTGGTCGTGTGTGAATAAATTGTGGATTAAATATAAATTCACTTATAAGTAAATGTGTTGCTGTTATTTGCTGTCCCTATTAGCGACTTAGCGATTAAAAATAGTGGCGGAAAGATTATTGCCAGTTCTTCTTGCCCGCTCTACGCCCTTGAGTTGGAAACTGGTAGTAAGGGTAAATTTACAATTAATTTAACTTCTTTTCTGACGTTCATAAGTGTACTTGTTTACCTCTATGTAATATGAATAAAGTTATTTTGACTTTGACTTGAAATCAGATCCGTTATGTATGTGACCTACAAACAGACAGTGATGCATCTCATTATAGAATGTCCTGTATTTGGAGCCTCCAGGTGTGATCTGGAGTAACCAATCGATATAAAGGTACAGAGCAATTACCCGAAATATCAAGAAGCTTCAGATCGTAACTGGAAGATTTCTGGAGGAAGATAGTGAAATGCGTCACTCACTACAACAGGAGCGTAGCGGAGGCGAGACGACGGGCCCCCAATCGACTATGAATATATAGGAAATTTCTTAATAGTAGTAGACCCCTGGTCTTAAGAGTCGGGGAAAAAACTCTATATGGAGCAGAGGACGTCCACAGTGAGTCTCCATCGCGTTCGGTCTTGATCCTCGTATTCCACCTCGCTCCGGCTCTCTTCCTCTGATCTACAACTGTACGACACCAGGTTTGCTATGGATGGCCACACTTTCCGCAAGGGTTCCAATCAAGAGCCTGCTTGCGGATATGATTGGAATCTCTTTGGAATGGCCTGTTCATTTTCACTTGCATCGTATGATCTTTGAAATTTTATTTATTTCACTTTTTAATAAAAGATAATATAAAAAAACAGATAATACTTTACATTTAGCTATGAGCAACAATGTGATAATCCCGTAAGTATTCTATTTGAAACTACCGGACCCGATAGACTCTGCCCTGTACTCACACAAATAAGTCGGGAAAGATTCGATGGTCTTGGACGTGGAATTGCTAATGATAATAACGGCACGGTAAGCTAATTGAAACTCGAAATAAACACATCAACCGATCAACTTCAAAACTTCTAATTGTCAAATTTTTAATCATACTTTACCATAGACATTACGTTTAGCTGTCAGTTGAGTATTGTTATACCATTTTTAACAAATGAACTGCTAGACTGATATTTTGACTGATAGATTTTTCGTGTTTCGTGTTTGTTGTGTTTTGTTATACCACCTTTTATGTCATGTCCCACGGAAACAGGATAAAAAATATCCTATGCCCGTCTCCTGGTTCTAGGCTACCTCCCCACTCAACCAAATCTGATCAGGCGTTCTTGAGAGATTTTTTTGTATAGAACTATACATTTACGTACCATTACTTCAATAGGTACGTGAAATAGCCAATGCGTAATGAATATATAATTTCAAAATCACTAATTTTCTCCAAATAATTTTTTCTCACGTAATTTATAAGTAAAAAATATATATTTAATCAAATTAATCATGTGTTAATTACATACATTATGTAATTAATTAAATTTGCTATAGTTAACATTTTTATTAAATGAAACATTTTATTATAAATATTTTTTTAAATTAAATATACTTTGACATTTTGTATGCTAATTTTGTTCCTTTATAACGGACTTTATTATTATCATTACTACGAACGCCAACATAACTTATGCTATCAAAGACAGCAAGTGAAATTGTCGCATAAAACTCGCCAAAACACAACATTTATTACCTACTGAAGAAATATAAATCGGAGATGAGTGAATTTCTTGTTAATTATAGTGAACCAAAAATTTACGTTCACATTCACAGCTAAGTCTTAATGATTAAAGAGTTGTTTTTTAATTCATTTGCAACATCAGATTTGTTTCAATATTATATAGTGATGAATAAACGTTATTAATTAGGGAATAAGTTCATATAAATCACAAATACGTTAATTATTTTATATAAAGTATCTTGATGGCGTGAAAGCAATTCAGTAAAGTTTTTAAGTTTTAGGCGAGTTCGTAATCAACCTGTATATTTTTTAAAGAAATATATATATATATTATGTGTGGAATTGATTTTCGATATATTATATACAGACGTGCTTCTTCTTTCTTCTTTTACACGAAGTCCTAGAAACGTATAAATAACTAGCAACCGATTCAAGAAGAAGTAATTTTTTTATTGTAAAGTTTTGATGCAACCACTTTCTTTGTCAAAATTTGGATTTATCTCAATTCATCCACTATGAAAATTTAGTCAGAAACAGTCAGTTGAAAGTATATAAGCAATAGAAGCCTTTCGAGTTCGATTCTCGGTGTAAACATTTGCAGTATGGAAATGATTTAGCTACTTGCATTTGATGAAAATTGTCTGCAAAACACGTAGTATTGCGTTAAGCGCATTTGGGGATACTTTACTTAACTTGGTATTTTAAAATTCAATTAATTATTCCCATAGAACCAATAATAGAATTACATTTTAATTTCTTTACAAGCAAGTGCACTGAAATTGTTATTATTTACTATAAATCACAATCATGGATTTTAAGTAACGTTTCCAAATTTTTAATTCAAAGTAAAAAATACTTGTAGCTTTGCGAGCAAGTTAATTTATATGTGGCGCCATCTTTTGTCGAGTAGCATAACATATATTTGTTTGTAATTTAATAATAACTATTATTAAATATTTTTAGAAGGCAAATAAAGTATTTTGAATGAAGTAAGAAATAATTAATTTATTTGGGTATCTAATTTAATTAATTCATACCCATAAATTCATAAGCATAAATAGGTATTATTTGGTTATAAAGGTAGATTTATATAGCTCATATAAATCTACCTTTGTGAAAAAACTCAAAGTATATTAGTAAGTGATTATCGGTGTTATTTTTTTATTAAACTTTAAAACTTTTAAATATATGTTGCAACTACTCGACAACAGATGGCGCTAAAAGCGTCATATTTTTATTAAGTAATAAAAATACTTCAAAGTTTATTTTTACTAGACTTTTTGTTTATTTTAACTAAATTTACGCGTGTATATGTAGTTTTTCTCGATATCGAAAAGTCAGAGTAAAGGTATTTTTTAATCATAATGTTTAATACATTTCTTTCACTACATTCGTTATAATCCAACATAAAATTACCACAATCCTTTAAAAAATCAATGAAAACTAAGTAAAAAAATAAACGTAAGAAGGAATTACCAGATACTAGCTAGTTGGAAAAGGAGTTTCATATCACATTCAAAGTGACATTTTCCGACATAATGCTTTACTTGATTATCTCGGCTCGCAATCGCATTATCGTCAACGAATGTCATAGAAATGCTATGAAGACAGTCTTCGTCCAATTACAGGGGGAAGCACCCAGCCACCCTTCCCCGGATCACCCTTATGTAAATTTACGAAATTATCGGAGCACTTTTTAACATTGCAAGTTTTAAGAAATTGGTAAATAAAATAATTGCGTTGTTTTATTGGTTTTTGTCCCAAGTACCGTGAATCAAACCTAATATAAAATTGGAAGAAAATACAATCTATTAAGTTTTATACGCTACATTAAAGCAAGTGTTGATTTGAAGTACAATTTACTAATTAACCTAATTGAGAAACAATCATATGGTAAAGACTTTAGGATTCTTAGTTTTTAATAGTTCATATTATTTATTCATTTATCTAAAGGCTGAGTGTAACGGATGACCAATTCCAACTTTAGGTCCTTCAAGAAAGGAGCGTACCAATTCTGAAAAGGCCGGCAACACGATTTCGTGCTCTGGCCATGTGATAGTTTATGGGTATTACTTACCGTTTGTTCTATAAAAAATTATAAAAACTTAACCTTACCAAACAACTCGAAACAAAGAAGGTTTTAATTTGAAACATTTTTAATATTGTTAAATTTATATTACAAACCCATTTCCTTATATTACTATTAGTAGTACACGTACTAAACACTTATGAATAGATATTATTTACTGTAATCTGTATCTGTAAAAACTAATCTTCTCTACAACGCGTCTCGCATAAAGTTCTCTTATTACAGTATTATGTATTTAATTAATAAACAAACGACGAAACGACCCTTATCATCTCTATAATTACTTTATCATCTTTATATTTTTCTAGTTCGTAAACGAACGTTCCAGCGTTTTGAACGCCCGTTTGGTGATTCAGCACCCACGTAGCGAAGATCATTATCTGGCGTGGAAAGTTAGAGGAATCCAGTTAGCCCCACCCTCCTCCCTAACTTGTTATAACCAGTTTAGCCTCAGCTCACGAAACCACCGGCTATACAAAACCAACTTCCTCTTGACCTTACAGAGACTCAAACTATAAGTCAATTGGCGTAAAACTCAGCGATTAAAAATGACCGAAAGTCAGTTCGCCAGTTCTTCTCGATTTGAGCTGCTCGTAAAACAATTTAACTTCTCAAAGAATGAACAACTTCGTATAAAAATTTCAAGCCTACGACAAATTATTTAGATTTTATTGATACGAAACAAGGATTGAAACGTAGTGTTGGACTAGTGGCTTCAGCATGCGACCTGTCATTCCCGAGGTCGTAGGTTCGATCCCCGGAAGTGTAAAAATGGACTTTCTATGTGCACATTTAACATTTGCTCGAACGGTGAAGGAAAACATCGTGAGGAAACCGGCTTGTTTTACACATATACACACACAAACCACACCCGTGTAATAAGAGTGTATTCAATAGAGTCGCAATGAAATTTTTTTGAAAGTAAAAAATACCAGGAATACATGCGTACGAAGGGTTGATTCGATTTGTTCATGGAATGCGTCAAGAAGGTTCAAGGGACCGCTAAAACTAAAATATTCAGGTCATTAGAACGAACGTAGGATGCGGAGGAAAGCGTTTGAACGCAGCCCGAGCGGAAAATTGTGGGCAAATGGTTTTACACAATCTTAATGGTGTCATAGGAGGAAGTTTGCTTAATTACTCCGCTTCAATTATTAAAGGTTGTTTTATCATTAATGAAGTATTATTAGGACATATTTATTTATTAGGCCAAATAGAACAACTCACAATGGTGGCAAGAAAACTCGGTAGACCGCTGCGTTTGTGGGATGGAGTTGTCAATGACCTCGAAATGGGCTTTGTTCATCCAGTTGAGATGCTGATGAGTTTAGATTCCTAGCCATGACCTCCTCATCCTCCATGATAAACTGAAACGTATTGGAATCACAAGACCGGTCGAAGTTTTCTGGGCTATAATAATTGTTACTTACGTTAAACGTTTTTAAACAATGTGACGAATGACGTCATGGTACGAAATTTCATACAAATTGAATAAACAAAATCTGATTACTGGTGAGGTCACATGAAAACCTAATCTGGGTGGTTTATTGGAAGTCATGGTATGGATAAGCGATGGAGTTCAGTAGGTTGTCATAAGGATCGTAATAAGAGCTCATAGTGTTCGAAGTTGTGGAGGCGTTTTTATAGAACAGTGGGCAAACGGGCAGGATGTTAAGTAATACCGTCGCCCATGGACACTCCCAATTCCAGAGGGCTCGTGAGTGCGTTGCCGGCCTTTTAAGAATTGGTACGCTCTTTTCTTGAAGAACCTTTAGTCGAATTGGTTCAGTAACACTTCAGTGGGCAGCTGGTTCCACATAGTGGTGTTGCGCGGCAAAAACTGCCTTAGAAAACGCTCAGTTGTGGAACGACGGACGTCGAGGTGATAGAGGTGGAATTTTTAAGGCTAAGGCGTATAAGAGACTGTACTGTATTGATGATGATGACGTCTTCGTCAAGACAGTACTATTACACCACGGCAGTGCCCTTTAAACATTTTTTTTTTATATTTTTGTCAAGTCTCTCTATAATCATCAGCCAATGTATAATCATAGCTACCTAAATAATAGCTGGCATTATAAAGAACACCGATGACGTCACGTCAGTACCACAAACAAACAATAAAGTAATTCATTATTAAAATTGGAATTTATTTTCCAATTATAAAATCTATAACAAAGTATAACTTGGTAACTCCTGACACACGATTTGTTTGAGTCTAGCTAGGCTTTCATTAGAACTTATTTATTTGTACATTTATAAAGCAGCCTAGTGGCTTCAGCGTGCTACTTTCATCCCTGAGGTCGAAGACTTTCTCTCTATGTGCTCATTTAAAGCTCGAACGGTGAAGGAAAACACCGTGAGGAAACCGGCTTGCCTTAGACCCAAAAAGTCGACAGCGCAGAATTCTGAGGACAAGACTTAAAAAGGCTGTAGGGCTGTAATTTATTTTATTTTTATAAATAATTTTTAATTTATTTTATTTTAGTGGAGCAATGAAAGTTAAGAATACAGTCTTATTTACTCTATTTATATAAAATCGCCATACATAACTTATATCTAAGCCCCCTTAGAATGCCTTCTTCTCAGTAGACACAGGTTGAATGAGCGTTCAAGTTTACATGCGTGAGCAGATTGACCCGATTGACTGCCCACTGTGAAATCGTTCCCAGTCTTGCTTTATTTTTAGATAGCCCTTAAAGGGAACATCTAAAACTGTCAACCAATACAGACGCACCAAATTGAATGAAGCTAGGAACTTTTGACTTTGTAGACTGCAATTTCTGAACAGCATTTGACAGTAAACTGTATTATAAAGCACTTTCTGCTCCAGATTCTCTTATTACAAGGTTGGGCGGCGGCACCTGGCTGGACGCATCAGGTTTGGGGGCTAAAGGGTTTGGTTTAACCTGGGAATTTGGATAATAACTAACAGGCTAACACTTTAAGATGTTGTCATTGGAGAATCGCAGAAAGTTTATTGGTGTATCGTTTGCAATTAAGATAGTTACAATCAGGTTAATTGCCCCAACCTTTTAACAAAATTTAAATTTCTTATACCCTCTAGATATCCCAGGCATCCCATCATTCCATTTGTCCCTCCTTTCCGGAGGCAAAACTCACCTTTCTCCAGTTTGAGCATTCTGTTAAACGAGCTTGGTCTGGATATCCATAGTTGCTCCCCTCACAGTTTAAAATAGATTTTCGTTTATCCCCTATTAAACTATCCGATAGCCTTACAGGCAAAAGATCAAGTTACGTATGGGTAACGAAAGAAAACGATGGTAACCCACTACGCACGTACCTATGATACTATGTACTCACTCACCCTAAGGCGTAGGGCGGATAGCGTATAGCCTATGTAACAGGCGACTGCGACCTGTTACATTTCCAGCCTTAAACAGGCAGCTCTTTCTACTATGGTCTAATTTTAAAAATAAAATCCCTATGTATACAGCACTTTGCCCTTGCCTTATAACGTTTCCCCAGTGTGTAAGTATAATATAAGTATAAGTACGTATTTTAAATATCTTATGGAAATAAGACCCAACAAGTCCACTGTCCCTGGAGCTGGTGCTTGCATAGGGTATCAGTGTCACAGTAGCAATGCTAAGGTTAAGATTATTATACCGCATCATAATATATTGCTAATTCTAAAATGCAATCACATTTTAGATTTGACAACACTTAAAATAATACTGCATCTGTTTTTTAGTTTGGTTTATATATCCCATTTAAAATGATTAGTTATAATATATAATATGATATGTAATTATGAAAAACACCCTCGGGTTTTTGTCTAGCCAACAAAATTGATAATAACCGACATAAATACAAAATGAATTTAATAATTTTTAATCGATTCCATAAACTGTATAACTCACTAAGCTTATAACTTAATACGTAATAAGTAATTTACACGAAGCGATAGTAAAGTGCCGTTGCGTTAATTACTTTGTACCTCTAATAGCCAAGTCTGATTCCACTGCCTGGAGGTTTTTGTGTTATAAAATATTATTATAGTAACTGTTCATTTTATTACGCAAATAACATATAATATTTAACTTCTTTAGCGAATATAAACAATTTCTGCATTGTTTCCATAACTCGTCGTTTTGAGTGATTTACACTACACAGCAGTTAGTTAACTGTTAACTTGTTGTGGCAGTTACATGTTTATTTTGGCAGTTACGTTTAACATCAATAAAATTTTTTTAAATTAGTGACATAAGCCGAGATAGATTATAGCCCATGATTACTAGCTAGGAGGTGTATCATTATAGTAATTTTAATAGAAATCCCAATTATATTATAGTATACATAAGGAAGACGACGATTATTAGTTTTTGTTTTTTTTTTTAATTTAGGCAAACTCTTCCGTAATATGATTTTTGCGCAACTTTCACCGTTAACACAGCGTACACAACGGTAACTCTGCGATTAATTTTCTCCGATTTTGCAAGATTTTTATTTATGATCCACGTCTTTGTGTCTATGAATTGTCTATGCATCAAAGGAGGACATAAATCCTCAAAAAACATAAATAAAATCATATATTGAGCGTTCAAGTATTACGTTACGAGGTTTTTGGAGATTATTGGATCCCCCCCTCATGTAACGCGCCGTAACGTTTTTCTGTTCCCAAGTATAGTAAAACGTTTCGTGACCACCTAGTGACTCTTAAACCTAAAAATCATGTTGTGTAAAGTACTGGAAAGTCGAAAATAATATTAACTATAACGCGTAATTCAACCCCCGCTCCGTATCGTAACGTTTTACAAAAGGACAACGAATTCGTTACGTAATACTTGAACGTTCCTTAAAACCTAAAAACTCTCCAGCTTTATATTAGTATAGTTAAGGAGAAAAACAAATGGAAGTAAATATGCCGGAAGACCTTTCCTTGGGATGTAGACAGACAATTAGCTACAGGAAATTAATCCGACAGAGGTGGGTGTGGACGTCCCACCCTTTATCCCCAAGAATGTCGTCGTTCCCTTTTTTGCTATTAAGATTTTAAAATCAAAAAACATACATTTTAAAATATACCAGTATGCATTTTCTGCACTCATGTGTACTATATTTTATAACGTTTTAAATACCCAACTGAATGATACTGTTACAAAGTGTATTGTTTTCTGGAATTATATTCTATTAAATATATAATGTGGGAATTAGATTCTAAAATAATTATTTTTTAATTAGTGATTTATGCCGCGAATAAAAGTTATTCAAATTGAGCAATGTCTGGATTTGTTTGTGGATAATCAATAGTTTTCCCTACTATCAAAAATCGCGTTAATTTTTATCTATATAGTATATAACGACATATAGTATATCCATGTAAAACTTGAAATACATAGTACGAAAATTTCATATAAAAGTTACATATATTATATATTACACATATTTTCATACAAATACATTGTAGTTTATTGATTTCTTGACAAACTATAAATAATTTAAAAAAAAATATATTTTTTCGTGCTTCTCCGCGGGAAATTTCCGATTTTCTATA